GGTTTAGGGTTTAGGGGTTAGGGGTTAAGGGGTTAGGGTTTAGGGGTTTAGGGGTTTAGGGGTTTAGGGGTTTAGGGGTTTAGGGGTTTAGGGGTTTAGGGGTTTAGGGTTTAGGGTTTAGGGTGGTTCGAGGTCTTTGAAGGGATCTTTTGCTAGCGCTTGGTACAGGGTTGTTCACAGGGTGCCTCATGGATCTTTTCAGGGGCTTCAAAGACTTCTTTTTTGGGTTCCTAGGGGTTGTCAGGTGTTCTAGTACTTAGGTGAAGCAAGGCTTCGAGATCTATGGCTTGTGTCTTCGGATTCTGAGGGCCTAAGGGCTTAGACAAAGAATTTACGGGTCTGTGTACATCATGTTCTTTGTAAGGTAGAACAAGTAACAAGTAACAAGTTGGACAGCTGCCAAGCAACCACAAAACACTTCAGCTCTTTCTCTTGCATAAGCCGTCGGCCTAAACGGCCCTCCAAAGGCACTAACTCTAGCCTCGCAAGTCAACCCATGAGTTACACACCCGAAACGCTGAACCCCAACAAGGGCCAGCGCAGACGATGATTCCAAACCCTACACTCTGAGACCCGCGTACGCCACGACAGGAGCCCTTCAAAGATGATACCCCCAAACCCGAGTCCGCTACATCCTAAACCCAACTTCTGCTAGGGGGATCCTACAAAGCTTCTTGGACATAGTGTAATATGCAGCTTTGTCTCAAGCAGCGACACCCCACATCCACCAACGCCTGTGACCCCCAAAAGGTCTGACATGCACGAGGTTATGAGTTAAGGTTTAGTGTTGCAGCATGGCTCTTTCTTCAGGTTCAGAGTGCATGGCTTCAGGCCTCTTAACCCGTAACCCGCAAACCCTCAACCCTTAAGCCCTCAACCACGCAACCCGAAGCGCCAGAAAAGGTTCCAAGCCCTTACGGAACTTCCACAGGAACCTTAAAACCAATGTCTTACAACCCCACAAAAACCCTTCCAAACCCTATTCCCTAGACCCACCCCCAAAGCCTCAGAAAAAAGCCAGAAAAAATCACCTGAAGCCCATCACAAAGAACTCGTAAAAGTCTTCGGAAAAAATCCTTTCAAGAGACCTGGGGAAGGCCAAAGGGCCCTAAACCCTAAACCTTAAAACCCTAAACCCTACCTAAACCCCTAAAACCCGAAACCCCAAACCCTGGCCTGTTGTTCCGGCCAGGGCTCCCGAGTCAGGGCCTTCACGGCTCCGAGCTTCTTAGTGGTTTAGGATTTTAAGGCTTAGGGGACTTGTTCGTTCGTTTGAAAGGTGGCATGAAAGTCATCAGGGTTTCATGGGGCTTTATAACTTTACCGAGGTTTTTCAACCACTCTGGAGCTTTGCATAGCTCATGCCGGGTTTGATAGGGGGTTTTGGGTTAAGGGTTTAGGGCTTGCTACGGTTTCAAGGAATTGTATTTCAGGAAATAATCTTGAAACGGCTGTAACAGGGTTCTATAAGGCCTATATGATGCTTCTCTAGTGCTTGTTTTGTATAAGCCCAAAGCCTGAACTCCTCCAGATCCTGAACTCCGTCGCACCCCTGCTTGGAGGATCATGGGACTGAGTACGCAAGTTTATAAGTACCTTCATTAGGGCTATAAGGAAATGGTTAAGCACTATACCTCCCTGAGTTTGCAGCACTTTTGCTAGATCTATGTCGATGTGCCCTGACTGCGCCAGCGTTCTCTGAGTCATGAAAGGAAGACAAAATAGGTATGGGTACATTAATGAAAATCCCAGTGACCCTAAACCCTTAAGAAATAGGTATGGGTACATTAATGAAATATCCTAGTGACCCTAAACCCTTAAGCCTAAGCCCAGGATCCTTTAAGTTCAGGCTCCTCGCCTCGGTCGAGCCGGAGGGATCGGACAACAGCAGCACGAGCTCGAAGAAGAGCCTTGCTATTGCTACTGCTGTTAAACATGCTATTATTGGCATTCTTCTGACGACTATTGATAATGCTATTATTGGCATTCTTCTGACGATTATTGATAATGCTATTATTGGCATTCTTCTGACGAGTACTGATAATGCTATTATTGACATTCTTCTGATGAGTATTGATAATGCTATTATTGGCATTCTTCTGATGATTAGTGATACTCTTGTTATGAGTAGCAGTCTACTATTGCTATTATTGCTCTTGTGATTATTGCATCGTCGTCGTCGTCGTGGTGGCGGTGGTGGTGGTGGGGCGGCTGCTGCCGCCGCTGCTGCTGCTGCTGCCGCCGCTGCTGGTGGTGGTGGTGCCGGTGCTGCTCCTCCTCCTCCTCCTCCTCCTCCGGCTGGTGGTGGTGGCGGTGGTGGTGGCGGTGGAACTACTATTGTTGTTTCTATGATCATTGCTACTAGATCCCGATACCGGTGCAAAAGGATCTTCTACATCCCAAACAAGCTGATTTCTCGATGAGGGACTTAGAAGGTTTGATAGCGCTTCTTTGTCAGGCCGTTCAGGGGCTCTGTTAGCGGAGCTTTCTATCAGGGTTTTAGAAGCATCTTTTGTTCAGGAACTGAAACCGAAGCTTAGTATCAACAACCCAGCAAAGCAGGCTAAGCTTCTCCTATGCATCTTGAAGTTGCTTTCGGGGACCCTAATATAGTACCCCAAATAGTAGGATCCTGAGTATAAGGACCCCAAAATAATTTGGAGTTGCTTTCGGATTTTGGCTCGAGGAGCAGACCGCACACCGCTGCCGCGCCGAGGCGGCACCCTGTACACTGTACACTCTCAAGCGGCTCTCCCACCCTAAAAGCCTAAAATGCATCGGACGGATGATGGCTACGTTGTGCGAAGCAGGTCCACTCCAAGCAGTTCTCGACCAAGCGGGTCAACCTGTAAGTCATCGAGTTCGCTCCATGTCAGCTGACCCGTCTTCAGGCATTTCTGCAACACCCGGGTGCAGCTGAAGTTGTCCTTTTCGTCGTAGTTGGCCTTGCAGCCTGCCCTGGGTGCCGGAAACATGCGGATGTACTGGGCCAGGCGCATCTTGCTGCTCGAATTATGCGTGCTGCCGTGCAGCTGGGCACAGGACCAGATCACCATTTCACCCTGTCGCAAGGGCACCGGCTGCATGTACCGAAGGATAGGATCCTCCTCCGAAGCCCGGAAGGACTTCGACGAGCTCGAGACCTTCTCCAAACGCCGTTCCAGGCACCACTGCTTCAGGAAGCCTCTGCAGCCGGGAAGCGTCAGGTGGCAACCCGTCTCAAGGTCATGATCCCTTAAAGCAACGAGGCCCTGGTAGCCCGGGTCAATCCCAGCCTCCATGTCTCTCTGACATTGCCACGGGTTCACGTCCCAGTGAGGCTTCAGCCCCACCCTCCACCTGGGCCGATCCTTGGCGCCGCGTGCAACGCCCCACTTGTCCACAGACACATGCAGCTTCTCTTCCTGCCAGATTCCGGAGAAGGCCCGGTAGATTTTCCGAGAACAGCGGTTCGCGAAAGCCTGCTTGTGCAAGGCCACATCATCCAAGAGGAACTTGCAGGAGGAAGGCCAGTTCTTGTCGAACCAAGTGGAGGGATCCTCCACCGTCACAGCAGGACCCTCAACGCCTTTCCTGCCCCGTAGGAGGTTGATCTCCTCGAACATTGCGGCCACGCTCGACTCGCACTCCTCCTTCGACAGGACCCTCACCACACAGAATCCTGGGTTCTTGCCAAGGAACTTAGCTTATGTTGCCAGATTCTGTAGATACATGCATCCTCTCTCTGGATCTATGCATAACAGTTACATGTGTGGGTATATATAGATATACACATGTACATATACACGTCCGTCCATCCACCCGTCCATCCACCCATCTATCCATCCATCCATCCACCCATCTATCCATCCATCCATCCACCCACCCACCCATCCAGACAGACAAATACATATATATATATTTTTTTATGTATTTATTTATTTATGTGTGTGTGTATGTATATATATATATATGTGTGTGTGTGTGTTGACATTCATAGTTATTTCTGCTTCGAGTTCTCTATGATTATGTCCATGCTTAAGGGAAAGCAGAAAGCACATGCCTTTGCGAGACAAACCCGAAACCCTAAACCCTAAAGCGCCTAGGAGCCGTACTTCTCCAGCGCCTCCCGGATCGCCAAGGACTCTTCGGGCTCGAAGCTTCTCAGGTAGCCGTCCTGAAGTGACGGATGGCAGGGGTTGAGAGTTTAGGGATCTTAGGGGATTGTGGGGGGGCGGGGGGGTAGGCTTTGGGGTTTCAGGGGCTTAGAGCTTTAGGAGTTTGGGAGTTTAGAGGATTAGTGGTTCAGTGATGTTTGGGGGTTCGGGTGGGGGGGGGGGAATTTCGGAAGCAGCCGTCCTCAAGCGCGGGATATCGCGGGAAGAGGGCTTCCCACTCTCCGGGGCTCCGAACCCGCTCCGGCGGACCCTCCGTTTTGAGGAGATCCTGAAAGCTGTAGCGAACGAAGGAGAGCTTCAAGTTCTCTGCTCCGAGATCTGCAAATCGACGCTTCAGGGACGCCTCACAGGCAAGGAAGACACTTTCGGGCACCTCTTCACCGGGATGGGCCTGAAGCCAGTCTCGCAAGAAGTCCTTGGCTTTCTGCTGGGCTTCACCCCACGCCCTCCTCCTCCTCTCCTTCGGATCCTCCAAAGCCGAGGGTGCCAGGAGCCGAAGAAGGCCCTGCAAGCAGCTCCGAGCAGCCATGGTCTCGGAAAGGGCACTAGCTGCCCTAGGAGCCTTATAGTGGCACAGTGAGAGCCGTTTGCTTCAAGTCCGACAAGCTGCCAAGATTGCACACATGTTGTACATTTTTCTATTGCATGATAGATAAGCAGGCAGGCAGCCAGGCAGGCAGCCAGGCAGCCAGCTGGCCAGCCAGCAGGTAGGTTAGGTAGGTGGGTCGGTAGGTAGGCAAGTACGAACATGTGCAAACGACATAGGCAGCAGGCAGGCAGGCAGGCAGGCAGGCAGGGAGGCAGGTAGGTAGGTGTTTAGAGAGGCTAGAAAGACTAGACAGACAAGATAATGTTACATGGTTGCGGTTCGTATCAGAAATCCAAGAGCCCACAGAGACATGCCGAAGTCGCTGTAGCGTGAGGTGGCCCAGTGGACAGCGCTGGAGATCCTGCAGGTCGAGCTTCTTCTCCCTAGACCGCTAAACACCTCAATAAGTTAACCCCTAAAGCTTTCATCCGAAACCTTTAGACCTCTAAACAACTAACCTCTAAACCCAAAAACCCCCAAACCCCAAACTCCTTGTTAAGGGTCTGGTGCTGTAAGGAATCGAGGGCTTCGCATGAAGGATGTACGGGCTCCAAGTGCTTTTTTCATGCATGTTGGCGGCAGCTCCAAACCCTGTAGTAGCAACCACAAGCACAAAACGAGCACGAATGACCGAAACACCCTGTAGCAATAGAAGGACATGAAGTGACAACAAAAACACTGGCAAGAGTACGGATGAGAAGAACAAGACGCATCAACTCAGCAAGAAGTCCTCCATCGCTAGGCCCGCGGACAAGGTGCCGACCACACGGGGTGCATCCCACCTGCGCTGTCAGGCACACCCGCTTCAACAGCTTTAAGAGTGGTCAGGGTTTGGGTTTGGAGGTCTAGGGTTGAGGCTTTAATAATTAGAATAGGGTTACTATAAGGGTTTAATATAGGGGCTTTTATAATTAGAATAGGGCTACTATAAGAAGAGGCGTTGAGAGTTGAGGCGTTGAGAGTTGAGGCGTTTAGTGTTGAGGTTGCGGGGGCTGACTTTTGAGGATTTAGGCGCTGCAGGGGTCGCGGACTTGTTTCGTTCTCCGCAAGCCCTTCAGTCGTCTTCAAACGGATGAGCGCTGCTCCTAAATACGAGTTTTTCCTGTTCTGTAGGAACCAGAAATAGACAGATGCACGACTGATGGATTCATTACAAAGGTAAACCACATATGACAGTTTTGCAGCTCTACATGATACCATTGGACGACAGCAGAGTAGCACAGTGTCGAAGGAGAGCTCTGTGTTCAAAAACGGTGCTGACTGACAGTCAGTAGCAAAAGAGTGTGCCAACATCATGCGCAAGGACTTTTTGAATGCAACTACGCCGGATTCTGCGACCATCTCGCTGAAGGAATTGAACCTATATTAAAAATAAGCAGATAAACATAGATGTGCATATGTCTTATACACAGGAGCTACTGATGTTGCCACCCTAGTGGCCCTAGTGGTCGCGCTGGCGGAGGTGGTGGCGGTGGACGACTACTCATAGTAAAATAAGCGATAGCAATGTACGAATAGCAACAAAGACAGGAAAATCACAAGAAACACGCCTATGCAGGAACTCAGCTTTCCTCCTTATCGCCGGCAACAGCAGCACAGCTGCCACCAGGGGAAAGATAACATGTCGAAAGCAGGAGAAAAGGCAGCAGCTTAGCTTCAGCCGCCAGCCTGCGGTTCTCGGAGATCTGCGGGAGAAGCCGGTACAGCTTCCGCTTCGCCTAGCCGAGGCTTCAAGCTTCTGAGTGCGCCAGCTTCGTAATGTAATGAAATTTATAACATCATGTAGTACAGCATAATATATTATATACCAAAACAAAATATCTTAAAGTTCTTAAAACATAATGTAATATGACCATCCTGCTGTGGCTTCGAGGCACAGGGTCGGGTCGCCCGTCGTTGCATGGGTAGTGGGTGCTGCCTCCATCCACTTGTCGTCTTTCTCACAGGTGACTCGGCCTCTGCGCAAGAACCGTCCAGTACCGAAAGGCTTCAAATCTAAGATGGGCACATTGACCAAGAATAGTTGACAGACAAGCAGACACTGCTCATAATGTCAGTTGCATGACGCAACTAACTACTATCTGCCTATAGCGACCCTGAACAAAAAACCTTAGAGCAGCCTTTACAGAAGCCTTAGAGCAACCCCTTCTGGAATACTTTTTCAACCGCTATAGAAACATTTACAGAACCAATGAACAACGTAGAAGCCTTATCGACACCCTATAGAAACCCTTGAAGAAATCCTTCTGGAACTCCAATTAAGCCACCGACTCTCGGAAGGATCCGCCTCACTGGTAGCAGGAGAACATGCACACTGCAAAATAGTACACTTTAGGATTTAAGGTTCAAGGCGTGGGTTCTAAGCTACTTTGGGGTTTAAGGTTTGGGGTTGAGGTGTTCAGCTAAGGCCTCAAAGTCTCAAAGGGATACGAACAAAATTTCCGATACTTCCACCACAGAAGAAAAGCAAATGGCCCAGAACGCCATCCATAGTATCCCAAAACGCCAGGTGGCGAAAGCGTCCTCGTGCTTTTGCATCAACAAAGAGATTTGCGATGTTCAAATACGAACGAATGAATTTCTACAAATATGGAAAAACAAACAAGCAAGCAAACAACCAAACAGATAGATAAAGAGAGAAAGACATAGTATAGACGGATAAACGGATAGACGGGTAGCTGGGTCGGTAGGTAGGCAGGTAGGCAGGTAGGCAATTAGGCAATTAGGCAAGCAGGCAGGTAGGCAGGTAGGTAGGTAGGCAGGCAGGCAGGTAGGTAGGTAGGTAGGTAGGTAGGTATGTATGTATATATATATATATATGTGTGTGTGTGTGTTTGTACATCAATCAATATATAAATAAATAAAT